CTCTCACAAAAGCCGTTTTAGGCATCGAAATGAGCCTAAATCCATGTTTTTTCCTGTTAAATGACATGCCAAACTTTAAACTGAACCCCAAACATTACAGAATACTAATCACAATAACATATTTTGCCAAGAAATGTATACTTTTATTCTGGAAGAATGAACGTCCCCCAACATTTAAACTTTTCATTGATCAGATAACATATGTTTTACCTCTGGAGAAAATGACATTGGAAAAACATAATCGTGGACATATTTTTCAAGCTCTGTGGTTGCCATTGTTTTCTTATTTGGAAAATATATCTGAGATATGACCAGTGGTGGAATGGTGCATTCTGTGGCTATTAGTCCTGACGGCCGGAAATAGTAGTTGTGGTGTTGTCATTGTCTACATTGTCGCTGTATTGTATTATTTGTTTGTTATACTTTGATGTTTTTGTTTTTGTTTTGTTTTCCTTTCTGTGTTTATTTTAATGGCTATGTTGTTTAAGTTTTCTTGATAACCGTGTTTTGGTTTTGCCTGTGTGGGCATGTGCGGTGGAGGGAGGGAGTGGGGAGTGTAGTGAGTGTACTGTGATATTACCTTACCATGTAAATGAAATGGCATCGATTATTGTACACTATAATGAAATAAAAAGACTTGTAAAAAAAAATAAAACTCCTTCTGTTGGCCTCAGCCTGTGTATTTCCATCAACACACGAGGAGTAACACACGGAACAATGCTGTTGGTATTGCATTTGTCTTAACAGTACTACAGGGAGGTGAATCAAAAGCATTGAAAATACAATAACAGAGGGCAGGAAACTGCAGGCAATGAGATTGCCTTGTTCTCCCTCCTTGTTGATTTACAGTCTATACCAGCTTACTCTTGTTCCCCACAGTCATAGCGGCAATGGATTGGCAACCGGCATGGCTAAACCAATTCAACAAATACATTCCATCTACAGATAGAATCAATTTGTGCTAGATCAAGTTTGAAGCATCATTCCAAATTATTTCTGACTCTTTACTGGCTGCAAAAACGTATGAAACAACTTTTCAAAAATATATTTCCATAGCCACTCCATTCTGATGTGTCAGTTCTGATATGGACCACTTCTCTCTGTTTGCAGGCCGGCCTCAGCAACTGAGCCAGACTCACAATAATTATGATGAATGCATTGTCCACAGGAACAAACCAGCCATTTGACATTTCATCCCGCTTGATGCATTAGCTGCTAATATCCCGTGGATCTGAGTCGCTGTGACTGGACTCTGCTGAGCCCTCCCCAGCACATTGGTGGATGCAATCATCATAGAATTGAAGGGGTCTTACTTCAAATGCATTTATTAGTGGAAACTGGCTTTGGGGGATCAGATCAAATCATATCTGCGATTGTCTGCAACTCAAAATTGCACTGAGGACAGTTAAAGGAGACTGAGTCATGGCATGAGTGGCTCCCTTCCTTTGATTGCAAGTCCGAAATGTGTTTTCGTCTAGGCTAGAAAATGTGGTTTTGCAAAATTTAAAAACAACTGGTATTGGCTGGGACTCCTGTATGTAGCCCGGAGTAGGCGGATGGTGTAACTGATGAATAGGAGATGGAACTGGTGCTATGAATTGAAAGGAATCACACGCAGGCCTACATACACAATACAAAGACATATATTAATATCACTTGAGAGGGAAAATAGCAGTTCAAAGGAGTAAAAGCAAGAGAGACCGTGAAGATCTCTGATCTTTAGCAGCTGCCTGATGATTTTTTTAATCAAAGATTGTTTAAAAAAACAAAAAATAGGAGAGAGAGAGAGAGAGAGGGTTTGGGTTTCTTCAAATGTGCCGTTTTTAATTTGGGGTGAGATGAATAAACTGCCAGCCATCTTTTAAGTTAATCCTGATTCAAAGCATCAAAATGATTTTCTGATGATGTGTTTACAGGGTGTGGGAGAAGTCATCTGAGAGAAGATATTTATACACGGACAAAACTAATGTGTGAATGTGACTGACACTGACACCAAGCAATTTATTTGGGATAATAATGAAATAGGCCTTAAGTTACCTCATGTTGTTCTACCACATTGTCCTGGATCAATGATTTGGTTTCCAGGTGTGAGGAAAGTCTGGTAACCCCACTCTGTCTCCGGGGATCTTCCGGCCAGCCCTGCCCGCTCAACTGCAGCTGTCGGCGGCCACAAGTCTCCCGGGAGTCCGGCTCTGTCCGCCCCGGACGCGAGGAACCGCTCCACGGAGGACGGTCACACACCGGGACAGACTTGGCTGTTCCCAAACAACGTAGGTCTGGCGTGTAATATCGATGTATCATGATAAATGTGTAAAATTACAATTGCATGAAAATGGTGACTATCACTGGAGCGAATACACGGAGTTAAAGGGTAGGCCTACATTTCACCAACTTCTGCTCCATGCGGTTTGCCCTGCGATCTCCGTTTCCCATAGTTACGACAAATGAAGCTCAGCCCACAAGGAAGTAAAAGTTTGTGGCCAAAAGTAGGCTATGTGGACAATGCATTTTTAAAGCCCTATATCCACCTAAGTGTTGCACAAAAATGAAGCTAGACATTTGGTGTTAAATTTAAGGTTGGTGTTCGACTGAACAGCTTACTATAATGTGACTGAAACCACTTATGTTATGTGGGATTCTAACATGTGAACGAAAATCTGACTAATAAGGCAGCCAAGTGCACTATCGGATAGCTTTATTTGAGCTGTTTCCAATGACACACTTGACATTTCTATGGCAAAATATTGTTTTTACAGTAGCCTACCACAAAAGTTTAAATTTCAGATTCAGGCCTTTTCTATATTTTGAACCAATAGTTCAAAATATAGTCAAAAGAAATGCATTGGCATGGCAGTATAAAGCAACCATTTCCAGCATGTTATAATCGACACAAACATGACACCCCGTCAAATGAAGAGCGAGGTGATTATTATATCAGCAATGAGTTTATTTGAGTTAGAATCCTTTTTTTCACTGCAGTTTACTTTATCACTGCAGAAAAAGCAATTTATAACATTTATGATGCATGTGTTCCATTAAGAGTCTTAGTAAGCCTCCCCAATAAGACAGTAGACCCTGAGTAGGCCTAGGACACACCTATGGATTGCTTTTAATGTGATTAATTGTCTGTGTTATTTTCCACCATCAAAAGCCTAATTAAGGCCATAGCGAAAAAGGACAGGTGTTACTAATGAGATTAAGGATGGCTCTGTTCTCGTCAGGTTTCCAAGTAAGCCAATATGTGACAGTAAACCAGCACGCACAATACGGACCCCAAAACTGAGTGTCATACATTTTCCTTATATTTATAGTGAGATTATAGATTATCTACTAACCCACCATTGTGAATTTATTGATACTGACTGAAGTGAGCCAAAGCTTTTTTGATAACTGGCTTTGTCAAAATCCCAGCTATGTGAGACTTCATGCAATCAATCCAAATGAATTAATCAAGATAATGTTGCAAAATCAATAATTAATTTCCTCTCAGTCTATTAATCTAACTTTTCATGCTCCATCTGTTCCGTAACATTTTAGTCCATGCAGCACTTAGATGGACCTTGAACACTCTCAACCTGCTAATTTGGAAAATACACTCTAATCACCTTATCAACAATATTAGGTATATACACAGACCAAGAACAAAATAGGTGGTGGAAAACAGGATAGACAGTAGGTCCAGAGTCTATATCTTACCTATATTCTGGTACAGTGTATCAAATGGTGACATTTATGTATACAGGAAGTAAATGACATAATGAAAAATCAGTTGCCTGACCGAAAACATTTGTATACATTTGGAAGATGTTTACCCTGAATTTCTGTCTTCTACTTATTTATTCTGGCTATGGCAACTGGCAACTATGGTTGAGATATATTTGAGAAAAAAAACTAAATATTTCCGAGTAGTCTATTAATGGTGTACAATAATCCCACACAAAAAGTTTTACACTCAAAATATTGTATTCGTCTTTTTGAAGAGTAGCATGAACATCTTGGTGCACCGTGGGCATTATGTGCCTTTTAATGTGAACAGGATGGAAGTCTCTATTGATCGTTGCAACAGAGGGACCAATTTTTCAGGCAACTCCAGCAGCTGCATCAGGAGCAGCAGCAGCAGCGAAGCCCAATTTAACCTCTTAGAGCATATCCTAGAGACAGAATCTGTGGGTGAAGCATCACACAAAGTGTCAGAAACATCTGTTCAATCTGTTTGGTGCTCCAGTGTACAATACGCCAAGATCTCAGGGCACACAGCTCGAAAAATGAAACAGTGACAAGTCTGTCACACTTGATAAAAGAGGGGACAATAATAATCCCGTTGAAACTGCCGAGCATAAGAAAAATGGAGTGAAAGGGAGCTTTGTAAACTCAATACACACACATGCTACAGAAATGTTTTTGGATAACAGTAAAAAGACAATTTGGGGTCCCCTCAGAATCCACCATCTCATGCTCCAGACAACCCAATGCCAGCTTGAGTCCTTTCAGGGGTGAAACACCGGCAAGATAAACTCTCACCGGTTCATGACAGCACTGAGGAGTTCACTGGGATGTGAGAAGAACTGTCTTCAGGCAACAGATGCAACAGACACACAAACTTGCCTCCAGCCAACTGCTCGCTATTTGCCATGGCTCCCTTAAAAGTTATAAATACAACTAATTAGTCTGCCGCCTTTTTCAGGCCTGCAAGAGGTAATGACCTCCCCTTCACACCCATCACCCCATGCCCACACACCCTTCTCATGGGATCGGAATGAGTGCTTAATAAGTGCTAAAACAGACAGGAGCAGTATATATAACGGCCCTCAGAGATTTCTCCATCTCACCACCCTTAGCTTTCCTTTATCATTCTTGCTCTCATTAAGGAGTTTTTAATTGCTGAAATTTCAACAAGTCAACGCGGAGAGTCCAAAAGTTACTCGCTGAGTGTCTTTACAAAGGGCTGGCATTTTTTTTTTACAATCTCAATAGATTTTGTCCCATTTAATATTTGGAAAATGAGCCAACAAGCTAAAACAGAGCTGTCAAACGAGGAGTCCAACAGGGGAGTGTGTTGGTACCCCCTGAGAAAATGGTGGCAGTCCAGCAGGCTTTTCAATCAGGATCTTGGCCTGCCACCGTTCCTGGAGCCAGGGGACCCTCGGTGGAGGGATGTGGACCGGCTCCAGAGGAGTCTGGGAGCCTGCTCCTGGCCAGGGTACATTCCCCCTCCGCTGTTTGTGCCCTACATCTCTGCGTCAGTGTATCACTCTGGCCAGAAGATTAGTGAGGAGCAGTACAAGTGGAGGGTCAACCTGGAAGTGGCTCACTTCTTTCCCTCAGACATTTTTGTCAGCGTCAGCGACGGATTCCTGGAGGTCAGAGGTACGTTAAACAAACCTGTTATTTAAACAGCTCTATAGGTTCACTTAGCAGCGTTATTCACTTTTACACACAGGATTGTTTCTGCTCATAATAAAGTAAAACCAAAACAAATCTATCTAATATTATCTCTAAGACTAACTGTTATCTAAATAGACTCAAGGTTCACAGGATAAACCCCTTTAAAACTAAAGACTAATGGAAAGGAAACTGACTGTAACAAAATTAGAAAGCTGCTTGAATAATGTGCTCGGGGAAATCAAAGCTCTGCGGCAGAAATTAATTTGTATGTTGAGTGGTTTCTCTGTGTGGCTTGATTCCTGTGTGTCTTCCCCATAAATGGTAATCCATCCCCAGGGAAACACGAGGAGAGGCCAGATGAGCATGGATTTATTGCCAGATGTTTTACAAGGAAATACAGGTACTGTATGTAAAGTAAACACCGTTGTTAACCTGTTGACAATTATGTACCCACAGTTAAGCCTTTTCCAATCCCTAAAATGCTCCCTGGAATGAAACATGATATTACGTACATCAATTTGACTATTTAAATACTGGAACTTTTATGTAGATATATTGTTAACAGAATCCTGTCTTTGTTCAGGCTCCCCGAAGACCTAGATGCAACCAAAATCGTCTCCACTCTTTCTGCTGATGGTATCCTGACTGTAGTAGCACCGGTTTCCGATAACTCAATTCCTGCTGACATCATCATAAAGGTGATGCTAAGCTAAGCAAATGTGCTGCTGGCTGTAGTCTTAGTCACTTTACCAGACACAAAAAACACTGTTGTCAACCTTTTGCATCCAATGCTTAGCAAAAAAACACATTAAAAAAAGGTACCATTGTTTTGAAGGTGGCCTGTCATAAAAACAATTCACACACACCCGAAATACATTTTTGAACCAGAAAATGAGCATGATGATCAATGTTGTTTCAATATCCCTCTTGAGTTTCAACTTATGCATTGACAGTGAGGAAATGGGTAGAGTCGAGCAACATTTTCCAAATATGTATGTACAATACAGGTGGAGGTGGAGGCGACTGGAGAGGAACAGGAGAAAGAAGAAGCCCCTGATACAGACCCAGGTAGCTGCAGAGCCCCAGAGGCCCCATGTCTGCCGTCTGCAGAGGATGACGGGAAAGAGTCTCCACTAGAGGTCCATGGAGCTGGGCTTGAAGAGAGGAGGGACCAGGAGGAGGAGACCCTTGAAAAGCCAGCTGGAGAGTCCCACCCATCAGCGCCTGTAGATGACGAAGGCATAGAGAATTTCCAAGTGTCTTCTGAGCACAATGAAGCCCAGGAAATCCTAGAAATTCCAGACACAGAATACCAAGAACCAGCAGTGGATGGAGAGATACAGCCAGGCTCAGGGGAGACTACTGATGAGATCACCCACCCTGAGGAGCAAGAGCTAGGCAAGAGTCCACCAAATGATGCCCCAAGCCAAGAGTTGGAGGTCCCCGACATAAAACAAGAAAACTGAGTACAAACACAAGTTTTCCCCAAATGTTGCACCAACATACAGAAACAGCGTGCACTGCTTACCTTGCACCAGTTCAGATGCATTTTAGATACAATATATAATAGCCATATATAACCATGCTTCCATTGGAGCTCCAATAAAGCAATAGCATGTGAAAATGTTAGAAACTGTGTTGGCGTCACTCATTATTTATACATGAATTTACTTCCTCTTAATCTTGAAATTATCATGTGACTTTGCAACCATTCATGAATAAGTGATCACATTCATAGCCACCTCTGTGTGGGTGCTAAAATGGAAAAGGTGATTAATTATCATGCTGTTTCAGCTAAGAGGTTTTGACATTAATCAGATACTATACATTAGCACAGCTGTGCATTAGTCACTTCTACACGAGTAACTTGCCCAACTATGCTGTTGCCACGGCAGCACAATTGTGTGCATTATCGAATACCATTAAATACAGCAGTTAAAGTGAGCTCATGACACAAAAGAAGCGCAGTAGTGCCGACAAAACAGTGGAGGCCCTTTGGGTTTTTTTCAATTAAAAAACTTTTCAAACTGATCATTCCCTCCTGATTCCAATGCACTGAGAAGATTAAAAAAATATTGCATCACATGACACATGCATAGCAACTGCCCCAATTATTTTGTACTTGCATAAAAGGCTCTGGCGGTGCTGCTTCTGTGCGTTCGTCCCATTCTGCAAACACCAGTGCCAATCTCAGCCCGCACTAAGCCCTTTGCTAATCTGCTGCCCAATTCCTTCTGTTATCCAACAATAACACCACAGGCTCCCATGGTGCCAGGCCAGTGAGTGGCATGATTCTCAATAAAAGACACAGATGTTATAACACGCTGGGAGATTGGCTGGACAGTTTTATTGCGTCAGCCGATACAAAGACATGGACAGAGAAGAAGGCAGGAAAAAAACGTCTTTGGCAAACAAGGGAGTCTGTCCGCTCCAACAATCATGCAGCCATCTTCCTGAATGCTCAAATAGAAAAGAAAAAAAATGCAAACCATATTGCAAAAACCTGGAACACTTTAGATTCATATTTATAATGAATTGGCACATGTTGAAGTATATTTACAATACTCTTTGGTAGAATACAGTATGAATGCACACAATTCACACTTTAATGAAGCCACAAAAGGTAGCTTGCTTTCGTTTCTTGTCAGTTTAAGTGACATTCATTAACACAAAAAATAAACAACTGTAAAGTCAAGGCACTCCAGTAAATAAAGGCACATTAATTTCAGACCAACAAAATCACATATAATACGTTTGATGCAAAGATAATAATAATCATAAATACAAATTTGATACACATACAGTGTTATATTGACTTACTGGTAAGGGAGAATTATTTGGCTTATAATGTATAAGTGGCCCAGCTGATATTTCATGACCTCGGTATATAGCCATATATAATATTAAAGCTGCACAAGACAAGTTCACACTATGGCTCCTCCATAAGCTGTTTGAACATTTGTGATCTTTAAAATGTGTCCAGAACATTGTATGAGAATGTTCTTTGTTTCTGTCTTCAATCCCAGAGTTTCATTTTTGTTATTCTTATGGTCAAGTAAAGTTTCACTTTACAGTTATTTTAACTGAAACCACAATCTTTTCCATAACCTGACCATAAAGTTGTGTTGCCTAACGTTACGTCTCAGTCAGTTTTACAACATGATACACTTCCTTTTTTTAACTTTTACAACAGTAGATCTGGATTGTCTTAGCTGATGCATTACACTTATAGTAACAACCACTGATTTAATCAAAAGATATCTTTCAAAATCGTGCACTGAAATCTTGCACCGTGGCAAATCTATAGCATCTCTGCCAGTAGGGGGAGGCGACTCTTCACTACTCTGCTTGCATATATAACATTGTTGTCTTGTGCAGCTTTAATAAAGACATACAACAGGTCATAACTATTTACCTTACATACCTTCCCATTGGAATTTTAACAACAGGAAGCTATAGGTCACATCATTCATTTCATTCATCAATTGCGCAGGATGATTTGATAGGATAGTGAGGAGTTGGGGGTTTAGACCATGGGGGCCTCTTGGGGCTTGAGTGCCTCCACCTCCTGGTCCTCTTCATCCTGGGAGCCCTCGTTGCTGAAGAGGTAATATGGAGGCGTCTGCCGAGCTTCGATGATGAGGACGCCCTCGGGGGACAATGAGGCGAGAACGGTCAGAGGGTCCACATCTATTGGGATCCTGGTGAATCAGAGGAGAAGAGAAGTGAGAAAGTCTGTATGAGGGCTTTTTAATCTGTAAGCTTCTGTGTGTATTCAGCGGGTTAAAAAACGCCAATTGGAAGAACAAAAAAAGGGAGAGTGATTAGGAGAAACTGTTCACTTCCTGCCTGGAAGTCTTGCAAAACTCGGAAGTTGTCCTTCACTAATGCAGGGTCCTGTCTGGCCAATTACTAGGCCTTCATTATTGGTGCTTTCTCAAGAACTGCTCATCCAAACAGGTTCACACTCAATAATGCACTTCCCTTGATCCTCAACAATACACCCTCCAAGTATGAAGTAAATCACATGAACGGTTGTCAAGAAAAAAAAGGACATCCATACTGTACATACAACCAGACTCCTTCCATTTTAGTCAGATATGACTTGCTGTGCAAACATTGTTAAATGCTGCAATTTATTATGGACACTTTGTAAAAACCATTAAAACGCCCACAGTCTTAGCACCGTATGCCTGGGAATAGAAAAAAAAGGAGGCTTGGGATTTTGACGGTTATTAAAAAACTTTCACCCTGTCCTCTTTGGCTAGCACTCACTCCAGACTCGCACAAACTAGCTCACACCCAAGGGATGAGCTGAAAGAGTGGATCTGAGTCTGAGGTAAAACATTTTCTTGATTCCAATTAATGAGAGGGTCTGTCTGCAGAAGTTCAACACCTGTACATTTTTATTGGTGTATACTTGCCTAATCTGCTGCTCTCATCTGTCACATAGGCAACAGCTAATTTTGTGTCTGGCATTTTTTTCTCGCCTCTTCGCTTCACTTTTTGACATCTCTCATGCTGAATTGCCAGAGAGGAGCGAGATAATTGGCTTCCAAATCTTGCAGGAAGATATAAGGTGATGGAAAATCAGCCAAGCTGCAGTATGTAAGAGATAACTGCTCACATGAAGCGCATCTAAAACGGTATATAACAAAGTTATTTAACGAGATTACATTATCAACAATACTTTGGAATGAAAGTCATCTGCTGTAAAGACAAACACAGACATCAAGGCTAACTCTGTTCTTTGTCCAGACAGTGTGGCCAAATATGGGTATTGTAGGTTTTCTGTGTGAGCAGCCAAGTGTCTCTGGGAGTTAATATAAACATCAGGCTGGCCTGCTCAGACGTGAGACTGTGGGTTTAATTAGAGAGGACCCTCCACTGGCTTCCCACTCCACTGAGAAATACAAGTCAGAAGGGAAACGTCACCACACAGAAGCAGAGGTCACATCAGGTCTATTCTTGTAGAGGAACCAGCATTTAATTGAGCTCAGTCTGTTACCATACTGTATAGCTATACCTGCACAATACCTTAGCTGTAATGTGTATATACCACAATAACAGACATGTATTTAATATAATTGGGAACCAGGAAGTTTTAAGAGCAACAACGTCTGAAAAATGGGGAATAAACTTTTAGAAAGATATCATACATATTAACCTAAAAGTGATGAGCTTTACAGGTCCACTACAGCATCAACCTCCACACAGACCAAACCCTCCCTTTTAAAATTAAGGAGCACAATAAAAAAAATGTTATTCAATCTGGAACAGAGAAAACAAATAGAGAAACCCTTGGGATATAATACAAGCAATAGTTGGGTCAAATGGCAATTACAAAAAAATATAGAGAACATTTTAGAAATAATAGAAACAGTGGAATATAGTAAATCCAATTTAAATAGAACAAGACCAATACATGTACAAAGAGATAAGTTGCATGAAGTAGTTCACTGAAAATGTCTTCACATCTCATGCGAGTGTTGGGTTAGGTCGAGAGTAAGTACAAATTACATCATCGAGGATGTGAGGGAGCAAGATAGAGGTGGCCCAGAGATTTGAAGAGAAACAATAATTTACAGTGTATCTAAACTAGAATAATATATGTACTAGACACAAACATACAAATAATCTTATAATCTGAATTTTTTCAACTACAGCTAATGGTGCATCTCATTGTAGGTATACTATATGTCATGTTCACCCTAATTTAGCATGCTTAAATTAGCTAATTATCGTTTAAAACAAAGTGAGGCTGAGGGGATTTTGTGATAACAACAACATTGAAATATTTCCTTCTGAACGGCTGGTGACTTTATAGAGAAAATGTATGTACACTCGTAATTTATATTTTTTGGGGAAAAACCCCATCTTTTGAGCCAATTTATCCAATAGCTGTTTGGCATTTTACCAAAAAAACACCAATGTTGGAGTCATCCATATTCACCCTCTGAGGACTATGAATGTCAGTACATGTTCATAGCAAAAAATCCGTTAGGTGTTGAGATGTTACAGTCTAGACCCAAGTGATGAACCAACCAACTATTATTGCCATACATAGAGTCATGACACTAACATGGCTAATATTATAATATATACTGTTCATTAAGGAAAACATTAACCAAGGAGCCGATTGCTGTGAAGCAGTTGCCCCTCTTGACAAAGTCAAATCACTCAGCTGATGCATTACGTGGGACTCTGGCAAAAACCTTATCTGTCCAACTTCGTGGACTTTATTTACAGTTCAGCACATCATTTATCTCACACATTGATTTTGTACAGCTGCCAATACACTGTTCAATATGCTTTTCCCCCACAGAGATGCTGAGACAGGGACATGGTTAGTGTGTTCACTGACTGTGTAAAACATGTTCCATTTGTTCCTGACCTTTCTATAGACCTTTACTCTCAGAACTCAACAACAAACTCTTTGGTTAATAACTGACATATTTCAGGTTTAACAGAGGAAAACACCCTTTGACCCTGTTCAGCTGTTTACTGTCCATCTCAGTCTATCAATGACTTCTTTAAAAGGGCCCCATTATGCTTTTAGGGCTTTTGTCTTTCCTGTAATGTGTTATAAAGGTTTTTGTGCATGTAAAAGGTCTGCAAAGACTAAAATCCTAAAGTTC